TTTTTTCTGTGGTTCTCTTTTTTTTTTTTTTTTTTTTTTTTTTGCTATAGGGAGTGTGTGCTCGCTAGAAAGACAGAGAGAGACAGATAGAAAGTGAGAAATCACCCCCTGGGGGGGGGATGGCCACGGCGCAATCCCTTCTCCATTCTCCTCTTGGGATCCTGGGCATGCACTCACACGTGCCCGGTGTGAGTTTAAGCCACCGGGTCCGGGACTCAAACCACTGTCGACCACATGGGAGTCCAGCGACATAGCCATTACACTAACTGCTGGTCCCTGGCCTGACTATTCTTCATGGACAGGGCTCTCTCCCTCCCCCTCTATCTCATCTATGGGGAGTGTACATGCCCTCTGGCAAAAGTTTTTAAAAAGTTTTTTCCTGACAATTTGTGTCTATTTGTGAGACAGAGGAGGCTGCGTTTGTTCTTGAAGTAAATATTCTTGCCTATTACGGAGATAAAATCCTTGACAAAAGTAGACAAACAGGGGCAGCGGGTGGCATGGTTGTTAAGGTGGTGGGTCCCCCATGGCAGACTCTGGGATTCAAGTCTGGACCTGGTTGCTCGAACAACACTGGGTGCATGTGTGTGCACCCAAAATCCTGAGAGGAAATTGGAGGAGAAGGGATTGTGGCATGGCTATCCCCCCTGGGGGATGAGATGATTTCTCACTTTCCCAGTCTGTCTCTGTCTCTCTTTTGCCCTATGGCAAAAATCTAAAAAAAAAAAAGTAAACAAATAGTTCCTGCCTTCCTGGGGCTCATGTACTGTGTATAAGAGACTTGGTTTTTCACTGAAGCCACCATGTGCGATGTGGTGCTAGTTTCTGAGAAGTGAGTAACTAGGGGAGGGATGGCAGAGTAGAGGAGGGGGAATTAGTTTGGAGTGACTGGGTGGAGATGCCTGGTGGACCACCCTCTGCTGTTTTCCCTGCTTTCACTACATGATGGCCTCCCCCCGCCAGGATCCTGGGCGCCGGCGTCCAGGGAGACGGGAGGGCTGAATTCAAGCACTCGCTTGGATCCAGAAGCACGTCCTGCACCGCGCAGCTGGCCCCAGGCTCCCTGTTTCATGACTTCCCTGCTCTTTGTCTTCACTTGGCAGGCAGAACAATGCAGACTCCACTGGCCAGTCCTGTGCCTGTACTCCGCCTCCCCCGGGGCCCTGATGGCTTCAGCCGTGGTTTTGCCCCAAACGGACGGAGGGCTCCCCCGAAGCCGGAAGTTCCTGAAATCCAGGAGTGTGCCGTAGCTCCATCTCAGGAATCCCAGGAACAGAAGGCCCGAGCCACCCTTCGGGAGCGCTACCTCCGCAGCCTGCTGGCCATGGTGGGTCGCCAGGTGAGCTTCACGCTGCACGAGGGTGTGCATGTGGCCGCCCACTTCGGAGCCACCGACCTGGACGTGGCCAACTTCTACGTGTCGCAGCTACAGACTCCCATCGGTGTGCAGGCTGAGGCGCTGCTCCGATGTAGTGACATTATTTCGTACACCTTCAAGCCATAATGATATTACAGTGGGGGCCAGCAGGTGGTGTGGAGCTTAAGGCCCTGGATCCCACATGGCTAACTTCACCATTCGAGTCCCGGACCTAGCAGCTTGAGAATGTGCGTGTGTGCTTAGAAGCCTGAGAGGAGAGTAGGGGAGTGTGGCACCGCCATCCTGTCTAGGAGGTGACTTCTCTCTTTCTCTTGCTCTGTCACTCTCTGGTGAGCGCACATGTCCTATAACAAAAACTAAAAAAGAAAAAAAAAGACATTACTGTGTTCACCTTTCTGCCTTGGGCTTAGCTGCAGTATCCCAGGCCTGCAGACAGTCCTGAGCTGGAACTCTGGGCTCCATAGAACTTTGGAATCCTTTGAAATTTTGAGCCAAGCGCCAAACAACTCTGGACCCTTGAGACCTGCAGGATCTAGTCAGTAAATTTCTGGAACCCCAGAAACGCTGTATCTCACAGAACTCTGAACTCTAGAAATCTGGGCTTGATGCCAGTGGTGTGGTGGTGGTGGTGGTGCAGGAAGGCAAACTGAAAACGGGGAAATTGTTTATTAAAGTGGTTGCAAAGTTCAGACACCCTGAAGACACACCCCAGTGTTCTCCTCCTGCCAAAGAGCCAATTATCCCAAGAAAATTAGACTCCAGTTTTGTGTTCTTTAATGTGTACCCCACAGTGATAGAATCAAATTCAGGGGGTGGTCGGGTGGCTTTCTGAGGGCTGAATCCGGGGGAGCTGGGCAAGGGGACCAACCAGGATAAAGGTGTGGGATTGGACTGCCGCTGGGCTCCAGAAGTGGCGAGAACACCCAGTGCCGAATGCCAGGCTTGGGAGACGGGCTAGATTTCATTCGAGGGGCCGGGCTCCTGGTGAGTCACGTGTTCGCGCACCAGCTCGTCTCAGTTGACCCACCTCTAGGTGGCGTGGGTTGCATGCAGGTGGCGGCTGATTGGCTTCCGAACACGGGGTATGGTCCGAAGCTGTGCCGCTGTGCCAATAAGAAACGACCGAGGGTAGTGATTAGACTGAAGCTTCGCCTGTTCTCCATTCCGCTGCAGTGTGCAGCGTGGCTGTAAATGTCACTCGCTTCACTAGAAATAATTCGGCAGATCTTTCTTTAAAGTACTCTCTGTCTCCTTTTGTACTCCCTTCAAGTTCAGAATGTAAGTAAAGCCTTCCACTAAATATAGACGGGACTTGTTTTCGTCTCGGTGACAAAAGTGCGGCGGCCGAAGATGTTGAATGGGACAGGCGGGTGGGTAGCCAGCCCAGCCGCCATCTGTCCATTCACAACTCCTCCAGACAGCCCAGGGCAGAGTTCTCACGTTGCCTTGGCAACGACGTGGCTCGCACCGCCCAAAACTCCCTTTTATGGCTTTAGCCCCGCCTTCCCGGGAGTGGCTAGATGGCGGCTAAGGCAGCCTGAAGAAAGTGCAGAAGCGAATCAGTAACGACTGAGGCGAGCCCTGGAGGCGTGGCCTGAGCTTGCGCGGGTTTGCTTCTGGCTCAGGGATCCACCTTCGTCTGTCGGCATTCTAGTTGGCAGATTCGTCATTCGCCTGTGGACGCTCCCGTCTCCCAATCAGGGCTGTGATACCCCTTATGGGCTCAAGTGTGCTTTAATATTGTAATCTGAATTATATTTCATGCAACGCTACCCACCCAGAGACAGCTATTGATTTAATTGCCTTCTACAGTCTCTAGCGAGGAGCAGAGGCTTGGTCTACAGGAGAGGCTCCGTCCGTGTCAGCATCCGTCGCCTGTACTAGATTCAACGCACTGCCTAGCGCCTTTCCACCTGCCATCCTTTTACCTGTTCTTGTCAGCTAGCCTAGCCCCACCAA